TTTTTTTTTTTTTTACTCAATGTTAAGATGTGAACACAATTATTTAGATTATATTCATAATTATTGTAAATATTTTATAGTTTAAAATATCCTTTTTTGTATATTTTATACTTTAAAATATTCTCTTTATAAACACCAATATATAAATCATTATACATACAGTATTATTCAAGAAAATAATAAACCTTTCTTCAATATTTCTTCTCCTTTTCTATTTCTAACATGGTATCAAAGCCCAGATTTTGTCTTAAAAGCCCATTGTTAGCCCACCTGACAAGACTCAAAGTTGATACTGGGTCTACATGTAAGGGGGTGTGTTAGGCCATGTGACAGGACCCGATATTCATAATGAGCCTGCGCATGAGAGGGCATGTTGAGTGGGAAAATCCCACATTGAGTATAAAAGTAAGAAACTAAGGGTTAAATACAAGGAAAACTGCTCCACCTATTGCCGATTGGTTTTAGGTTGGATGCAAACCTTATGTTGAGCCCACATGCACAATTTCCAAATGATCACTTCATTCAAACCTTGCTTTGTGCTGTTGAATTAGAGTCTTTACAAATTCCATACCAACAAATTTGCAAGCCTGTGCTGCTGCTAATGTTTCACCTCTCCATTTGTGGCACTCACGGCTCGGACATACCTCAGTTGGTAAACTTCGTCCACTTATCTCTCGTAGTTTATTGGGATTAGTTTCGAATGAATCCTTGCATTATGTGTCATGTCAATCTGCAAAGCAACCAGCTTTATCTTTTTCGAGTAGTCATTTTCATTCTATTGCTCCTTTTGATCTCGTGTATTTTGATGTTTGGGATCCATCTCCTACACCCACCATGGGGGGTTCCAGGTACTTCATGTTATTTATTGATGATCATACTCGTTTTACTTGGATATACCTTATGAAAAATCGCTTTGAATTATCACAAATTTATACTGCTTTTGCTACCATGGTAAAAAAATCAATTCTCTAAAATTATCAAAGTTTTGAGAACTGACAATGCTACTGAATATCTTGGTACCAAACTTCAATCCTTTTTGAAAGAACAAGGTACACTGACACAACAATCTTGTCCTTACACTTTTGAACAAAATGGGTGAGCCAAACGCAAACACAGACACATCCTTGATTTTGTTCGTGCTCTATTGATTTCATCTTGTCCAAAGCGATTTTGGGGTGAAACTGCTTTTACAGTAGTTTATCTTGTTAATTGCATTCCATCAGTCCTTAATAACTAGTCTCTATACGAGCATTTACACGGCATTCTTCCTATCTATAATTTCTTTAAGGTTGTTGGTTGTGCATGTTTGTTCTTCTTTCACTTCATGAACACAACAAGTTAGAGCATAAAGCTCGATTATGCTTTTTTTGGGTTATGGGATCTTATGTCACAAAAACTCCAAGTTTCATGTCATGTTGTCTTTTGGGAACACACTATGTTCTCATCATTGTCAACTTCAAAGTGTCATCCTTTCATCAACCTCCATTTTTTACTAATCCTTCCATTGAGCTATTTCTTAGTGATTATGATGTAGGTACATCTGATGAGCTCTACAATGCCTCACCACATGCTTCAACTAGTTCTGTAGAATATGATTTGTTTGCTAGTAATATATTAGATAATTCTGAACCTTCTTCTACTTCCTCCTCTATATCACCTATTGATGTTGCATTTGATATTGTTGAGTCTGCAAATGAGATTGTCGTTCCATCCTTGAGTCATCCTACTTGGGTAGGAAACCCTCTTAGTTGCCTTCATGATTATTATTGTTTTCCTACTATTACTTCTTTACATGAGCCTCAATCCTATCAAGAGGCCTTTTCTAACCTTCTTTGGCAACAAGCTATGCAAGATAAATTACAAGCTTTTAAGAACACTCGTACATGAGATTTAGTTGATCTCCCTACTGAAAAGTCTCTAATGGGCTGTAAATGGGTGTACAAGATCAAGACACGATCTGATGGTTCTGTGGGGCATTATAAGGCACGCTTTGTTGCCAAGGGTTTTACACAATAGTATAGATTAGATTATGAGGAAACATTTGCTCTAGTTGCTTGTCTCACATCTCTATGTAGTTTGCTTATTATCGTTGCTATACAAAGATGGAAATTGTTTCAGATGGATGTGAAAAATACTTTTCTTAATGGTGACCTAGAAGAAGATGTTTACATGAAACCACCTCCTCGGCTCAATCATCCTCCAAACAAGGTATGCCAATTACGACGTGTATTATATGAGTTAAAGCAATCTCCTCAAACCTGGTTTGCAAAGTCTAGTGCTACTGTAATTGGGTTTGGTTTTACTTCCAGTCCACATGATATAGCTCTGTTCATTCATAAGACTGCTCGAGATATAGTTCTTTTACTTCTTTTTGTTAACAACATGATTATTATTGGAGATGATGTTGCAGGTGTTGAAGAGTTAAAACAATCTCTCATCAAAAATTTGAGATGAAAGATCTTGGTGTTCTAAGCTATTTTTTTAGGCTTGAAGTCACCTTTTCAGATGATGACTACCTACTTTCTCAAGTAAAGTATGTCTTCGATCTTGTTTCTAAAGTTGAACTCAATGATGGTAAGAGTGTTTCTACACGTCGTGAACCTAATGTCATGCTTACACCTATGGATGGCTCTCCACTTTCTGATCCTACTCACTATCAGCAATTGGTTGGTAGTCTGGTTTATCTTACCACAACACGCCTTGACATAGCATATGCAGTTCACATTGTTAGTCAGTGTATGGTTGCTCCTCGCTCCACTCATTATGCAACAATACTTCACATTATTCGCTATGTTAAGGGAACATTGTTTCATGGACTCCATTTTTCTGCCAACTCATCCCCTGTGCTTTGCATTTACTCTGATGCTGATTGGGTAGTGATCCTTCTGATCATAGATCCACCACTGGTTATTGTCTTTTCCTTGGTAATTCTCTTATCTCTTGGTGGAGTAAGAAACAAACTATTCTATCTTGCTCTAATATTGAAGTTGAGTATAGAGCTCTCGATGATATCACATCAAACTTCTTTCATTATGGTGGCTTCTTGAAGTTATGGGCATTCCTCGACCTTCTTCTATTGATTTATATTGTGATAATCAAAGTGCTATGTAGATTGCTC